CATCGTCAGCAGCAGCAGCAGCAGCAGCCGCCGCAACGGCAATGGCAATGGCAACGGCAACGGCAACAGCAACAGCAACTACTTCCACTCCTACTTCTACTTCTACTTCTACTTCTACTTCTACTGCTACTACTACTACTACTACTACCACTACTACTACTACTACTACTACTACTCCTGCTGCTACTACTACTACTACTACCACACTACTCCTGTTGGCGGCGGTACTTCCATCAGACTTTCTAGCACGGTATGCACGTTCATCATTGAGGATTTTGCTGTGAGGCAGTGAGGCTTGCTGTATTGTAATAAGTGTTACGATATCTATGATGTCAATGTCTTAGACACATTGGCTGTTCATCTGCAAGAGACAGAAGAGTGCAAGATCTGTGAATACATGGGCATTGATTGTTAGGAGTCGCCAATTGGCGTGGCAAAGGCAGGACAACAAAGTGTGCAAAATGACCTCACCATTTCTTAAGCTGGGGATTAAGCGTGTTGCCTGATCTGCAATTGTTTTGACTATGTAGGAGAGATCGTTGACAAGTCTCAGTCCAATGGATTGCGCATGGCACAACCCATGTCTTGACGATTCAAGCCGTGCTGATGCCCCGTGTGTTTGTCTGCGTGTGTGTTTGCCTGCCTGCATGGGTGGGTGGTGTGTGTGTGTGTGTGAGTGTGTGTGCGCGCGTGTGTGTGTGTGTGAGTGCGTGTGCGCGCGTGTGTGTGTGTGTGTGTGTGTGGGTGTGTGTGTGTGTGGGGGGGTGTGTGTGTGGGTGTCGGTGTGAGTGGGTCCGGGTGTGGGTGTGGTGTGGGTGTGGGTGTCGGTGTCGGTGTCGGTGTCGGTGTCGGTGTCGGTGTCGGTGTCGGTGTCGGTCGGTGTGTGTGTGTGTGTGCATGTGCGTTTGCGGCTTGTGGGGCCGTGCTGGCATGGGTTTGCTGAACATTTCGCATGCCGTGGCCGGGGTTTGCTCAGACCAGCTGCGATCTGTTGACATGCAAAGCATGCAGACATTCTGAGCGGCTTTCTTGCCAATACGATAATTCGGAGGGCGTTGGCCCCACAGACGTAATTTTGGTAAATAACCGTTGCAAAACATAGTGACTCATGAATCCAATGACACAAGTACGACACTTCATCTTTTGCAAGTTGTGAGATCCAGTTCTGACGGTTCAGAGTTCGAGGGAATTGCCGGGGCAGCAGCGCTGGCTTTGTGGAGGCATGGAGTCCATTGATTGAGTGGGGTGCGTCGTGTGCGGCTGCACGTGGCTCGTAGCAACTTGCCGTCAACCGAAGGTCTCAGGAAGCCCCGCAGTGCCCCGAAGGTGTGCCGTGTTATCAAACTATGCAACTAGGCATGGCTGAGTCGCTGGCAGCGCCCGTCTCCAACACTGCGCTGAGGTCATCAACGGGTTTTGGTTGTTTGCAGCATGCATCGCACCCCGTGGGGGAGACGGGGTAATTCGCATCGCTGTTAGGCTTTACTTACAAACGTATTAAACACACATCGATCAGTCTAGATTGAGGGGTTGAGCATTTCGGGATCGGACGTGGCATGCGTCTAAGTATCTCAGCCGGTTGAGCGTCCGCGCAGGGGTGTCTGCACAGGGGTTGTGCACTTCATGATGGATATACGAACCCAGACAAGCTTTTGAGCGTCTACTGTACAGTCGTGCAGGAGTGTGAAGCCCTGTCTCTGAATGCACATGACATGGTGTGGAGCGGAGAGTCACTGCCATAAGCATGGTACCCTTTCCACAAGCATGTCTTCCAAATGAAATATCGATCCCCCAGCCATTGTACAACCCCTCGGCATCATTGCTCGGGGAAAGATTGTCCGCTCTTCGATAGGTGTTTGAGGGTCGTGCCGCTTGACGCTAAGCATGGATTCATGGAAGCCTCCCGTGCACCTGAAAAGCCCCGCGGGTGTAATGACAAGGTCGTTAAGAGATCTTCCCGTTGAGTACCAGTAGGCTGTGCATTTGGAAGCCGATTCCGCCATGCAGCCAAACATCAGCCGGCTGAGCGTTCGCACTTGGGTTTGCATTTCGGAACCGGGCCTGGTATGCTTCCAAGCATTCGGCAATTCGGTCAGCCGGACACCACAAGCAAACCTTCTGCCTGGCCCAGCCAGCTCTCGTTCTTCTCCCATGCTCTTGTGTTTCCTTGTCTCTCTCTCTCCGTTCGCTCTCTTCCTGTCCGTGTCTTTCTTGCTGTTCTCGCCCTCTGCATATCTCTGGCTCCTCGGAATCAACATCCGCGGAGCGGTTATTAGTTATTGGACTTGAAAGTGAAAACCGCATCCGAGGTACATCGTTCCGGCATTGCCCGAGTTTGCAGATGTCTGCAAGTCGTCGGGAACGAAGCATCACGTTGGACTCTCATTCCTCAAGCCCTTATCACCGGAACATTAATCTGGCTGGCGTTTACGTTTAAGGGCTCACGAGCTCCTCCGCATACTGCCGCTCTTCGACTTCGCAGTCAGACCGAAGAATCCACAGTAGGTTGGAAGCTCGACGACGCGAAGCTTTCTCATGCATGTTGTTGTTCAAGCTCAAGGAAACTCGCCAAAAACTCGGCGTTCGTTTTGTTTATTATCCAAGGCAAAGGATGGACCTCATTTCTGGAGGCTAGCCTCCCCAAGCCCACGATGCCTTGCTGCTTTACGTACTTTATTGGTTTGAACACACGGATGCTCCAGCCAGGGGCGCCGCCATATTCCTGTCAGCATCAACAACCACCACACCCGACACTCCGACGAAGAATGAAAGGCTCCGAACGAGCGGAGCTGTGCAATGTGTGGATTTTGAGACGTTCGGGTTGTTACTGCTTCGGGGTGCAGGGCAGGGCTTCCCGAAGAGCAAAGGAGTTCGTGGGCCAGGGTTTGTGCCCATCAGGGTTGTTTTGGCCCTGTGCTCCTGACAAGCATTTATCCCATGATCCTGGTCCTACGGTCGTGATTGTGGGCGCTCCGTCAGTCAGTGCTGCAGAGCTTAATCTGCAAGTGAGAAAACGCTTGTGGGATGCAAGTCAGTCCTGAAGCTGCCTTTCAGACTTTGGGCTTGCTGGCTGCCTTTCTGGCGGGAGGTGGTGGCTCTGGATGCCAATTGCTTGCACGCTGTTCCTGATTGTGGCGGTGTTTGCAGGCCGACCGCAGCTGAATTGGGTTTTGTAGGCGTTTGGCATTTTGGGCCCAAGCCCCATGGAAGATGTCAGGTTGCTTTGGGGCTTCGAGCGCAAGATGTCAGAAACAGCTCCTGCCACAGGGTTCTAAAAAGACCGAAGGCGGCTTAGGGCACAGGCACCGTCAACTTTGGGCGTCTTAATATTAAGGGTTTTCGTGTTTTGCGCAGGATGGGACACACTTCGAGTTCAGCATCGTCAAGCCTGCAGTTGACATTACAAGAGTGCATAGACATGCCCGAGGTGTTGATATGTTAAGTGGTAACCTGTTAGCAGGTTTAGCAAGTTCCCCAGATGCGCTCTGCACGTTGCCTGAATTGCCAGGCTGCATCCGGATCGCTTGGCGTCTTAGCCGATCGAACGCCCAGGAGGCTCTTGCATGGTGTTTATTTATGTATATTTCGGAGTGTCACGACTCGAAGATCTACAGCATCCGGGTTGGGGGCTCGAAAAAAGAAACAGCCCAAGATTAGGATGGCCATGATGGCCATGTTTCAAGCCCTTTCGCATACAAGCTTCAGTTCTAAGACGGTAGCCGTGCCAAATTCAAACCAGCATTAATTATCGATTGATAAGTTTCTGAGATGAAGGGTATAGGGCGGCTCGATTACAAGTCAGGACCTGTGGTTGTCCTTGCGACGTCAACTTTGGAAAACGTGAGTTGCCGTGTTTGCTCTTGGTACAATTACGCCATGCAGCCGAGCAAGGCTCAAGGTTCACTTACGTCCCAGGCTTTTGCGATTGATTTTGATTCAACCGCAAGATATTAGTCTACATGTACATGTTTCTGCTGCTCGGGCATTGGCTCTGCATTTGTGGAGCTGTGACCCTGCGCGGCTCTGACGTCAAAGAGACCATCCCCACTGCTGACCAGAGCCAGATCGGTGTTGTCCCAACCTGGGACAGAACGCGACAGGATTGGCCAGTAGCACATGACTACGTGTACAACAGCAGCCAGCTCTCCATTCTGATCCCGGAGACGAGACCTCTGGTCACATTGCCTGTTGTGGCGCTGCAGGCACACACTCACTTCCCCGAGCTGCGAATACAGATCATGTATGGCAGTGACAACAAGGAGTATGTGCACACGCAGAAGACGCTCGCGGAGCTTTTGGAGAGGGGCATACTGTTGTTGACGCCCATGCCGGGAGATGCGTACAATGCCAGCCGGCTCCCTGAGGACCACAAACGCGTTGCCTACTCCAAGGCGCTGACGTCACCGGAGTTTTGGGAGCTGACAACCACACCGAAAGTGCTGCTGGCACAGACGGACTCCTGGATCTGCAACCGAGAGCACTTGCAAGACTTCCTTCCGTATGACTACGTCGGGGCTCCGTGGCCCGGTTTTAAGACCTTCTGCCCGAAGAAGCCGGTGGGGAATGGGGGGTTCAGTCTCCGAGATCGCGAAGCTATGCTAAGGATCACCAAGTCCTCCCACTCGAATTGGCATCCTGAAGATGCTTACTTCTGCAGTCATCTGCAAGACTCCGAGAAGCTTCCTTCTAAGGAACAAGCAATGCACTTCGCCAGGGAGCAATTCTCGCCGGAGGAAAAGAAGCAGATCTCGGGCGCCACCATGCCGAGCGTGGGCGTCCACAACCTGTGGGTGACCGCAGAGTTGGTCCGGCAGGTTTTTGAGGGCCAGTGCCCCGGCGTGAGTCTCGTGAACCCCAGAGTGCAAGCTCTTGACAACAGTGAGGGCACCCTCGGTGAAGCCATGGTCCAGCGATGGAAACAGGAAGCTCTCCCCCGGACGGTTGCCTTGCTGCAGGACAGTGGCCGTGAGATTCTGGACTATGTTAGCCTGACGCTGATGGCCAAGATCTTCGGAGAGGGGTCGATTACTGATCCGGTTTTGGTCGATTTTGTCCGTGAAACGGAGGAGACATGACAGTGGACACGGGGAGCTCGTGGAAGCTGGCCTGCAGGTCCTGCCGCGTCTGCTAAATTGTCGCGCAGATCGTTAGAACTAGCTGCAAAATGTTGTCGTAGTTGGCTATCTTCGTTGCGTTACATATCTTCGTCGCCGCGATGCAAGTAACTACCGAGAGCTGGATGTAGAATGTAGACACGAGCATTGGATGCACGAATGCATGGACGCATGCAGGCATGCATGCATGTATGGATGGACGGGTGGATGGATGGATGGGTGTATGCATGTATGGATGTATGCATGCAGGCCTGCACATTCGCATGCATGTACGTATGATTCTGTGTGGTGCGCAGGCATTCATGATCGTTCATGGTGTTGACAGCTACCGTCTACATAGGTCACCCGATCGTGTACATCTGCTCAACTATGCCTAACTAGCATGCATATATATATATATGAAGTAGAGACATATTCTTGTACATATACACGCAAAGATATATATATATATACACATACATATGCATATGTGTATATATATATATATATTTATATGTATAATA